AGAAATATGCGATAACTTTAGTTCATTCTTTTCTAGGCAAAGCTGTCTCGAACAATTCAAGATTTTCTTAATGTTACAGCACAGTGCACGCCTAGCATCATTATAAGCAAGCCCAAATTTCATTTCTTAGTTCATCTCCTGGCGTATATTCGACGTTTCGGACCAGCAGTGATATTTTCGACCGAACGATACAGAGTCCTTCAACCATGTATTTCGTTTGTCGTGTGTATACAGTAATCGCCAAGCACCAAGCCGCGACTCCTGCCGAACATTCGCTCATCAAGATATCGTCAAGCACATTGTCACGGGTGGGTATTGGTACGATAACAAAGCCTCAAAATGGGTCCGGGGAGGAGCGCAAGTTCTAGGGTATCTCGAATGAACACCCAGAGCAAGCACGATTGCTCGGATTATCGGTCTTCAATCGTAATACTCCAGTACCTGGTAGTCCTAGCTTATTATTTCACTCTATCGCTACTGATTCTTTTCACACAGGTTCTGGGAAAGTTCAGACTTCTCTTGGTGCCAATGGAAAAACGGCAAGAAATGATATAGTAGCCTGGAAAGAAACTCATTGCTCGAAGATCCTGAAAACTGCCCAGCCTGACATCGCTTACTATCAAGGCAAATCAGTCGTAGTGAGGGAAGGGGATATCGCATATCTGAATAGTCATGTTATTTTCCACCGAACGACTGATGGTCAGGTGAGTGAATTCCTCACTGTATGGTTCTTGATTAATTGTTAGACATGCATTGGACGTGTTTGCGAGATCCTTGTATCATCCGAGAATCCGAACACCGTTGTTCATGTTGGACTCTAGCTCTTGTCATTCGCAAACACTTTACACGCTTCTGTCCATCTACCCTGTCTGAACCTGATTGATGACGAGGTTGTCACACCGGCGGTGGTAAATTTGATATCCCATTGATCGTGTGCGCTATTTCTGACCCTTGCAAGGCTATAGGATATCATATGCGTCATTAATCTCCAGCACAACTGTGTTGATTCACAGTGTACAGACACCATCGAGGAACCTGTGCACCAAGAACGGCTCGAAACTTCTCGTACAAAACCTATCATTCAGCACAAGTCAACACCACACTACTTCATCAATGCCTACTCTATTCATAACTACGATCATATCAATTCTGTAATTCCTGAGATGCTTTGTGAATCACCACTGAGGGTTACGAATGTCGCAGAGGTTTGGGAAATGGCCATATGACAAATGAAGCAGAAGAAGACTTTGAAGAAATCTGATGACGTACCTCAACTAGATGCTAATATGGAACATGATACCCAGATCCCTCTGGTGGCAGTTCCCTCCTTCGATCGGGCCCCTCCCAAGTCAAGGACTGCTGCAAAATCAAAGGCAAAGGCAACCACTTCCGGCACGCGAAGGAAGGCAGCAACATTGAAGACTGGTCAAGCAACTGCCGGACCCTCTAGCCAGCTTCCGCCTGCTCAGCAAGACTCAACGATTCATATCGGAGATCACCAAAATCAAGCCTACTTTGCGCCACCACCAGGATTCCCTCCTCCCCAGTACTACTACCCTCCTCACCATTCACAACTTCCTCCACCACAGCTATATGGTCCGCCGCCACCAGCTCTGTATCTTTACTCCGGAGGTTCACAACAACGTCATGAGGTTTTAGAAAGGTCATATACCAGTGAGTTCTTCGCCGTTATTATAGCATAAAAAATCTAACTACACTCAGGCTATAACATGTACCCAAATCAACCCGAACCGCCGCATCTACAGCCACAGCCACATCAACAGCAGCAACAGCACCTGCAATTCCATCCGCACCCCCACCCCCACCCGCAACATTAGTTAGTGGTGGTGGCATACTGCAACTGCGACAGTGCCTGCTTCCGCTACCGCAACAAGCCTTAATCCACTTCTCACCCGACTGCGACGATGCCTGCTTCCACTACCGCAACAAGCCTTAATCCACTTCTCACCCAACTGCGACAGTGCCTGCTTCCGCTACCGCAACAAACCTTAATCCACTTCTCACCTAACTGCGACAGTGCCTGCTTCCGCTACCGCAACAAGCCTTAATCCACTTCTCACCCAACTGCGACAGTGCCTGCTTCCGCTACTGCAACAAACCTTAATCCACTTCTCACCTAACTGCGACAGTGCCTGCTTCCGCTACCGCAACAAGCCTTAATCCACTTCTCACCCACAGCACCAGGTGGAGGAAAAGCAATACTTGCTGCTCCCAGCGGTATCAAGGTTCTCTGGTATCTGTCATGCCAACCTGTCCTGTAGATGGAGGGACTTTGCTTTGCAGCCTCAAGAAAGTATTATCATATGTACTTATAATATGAATTTGGACCCCATCTCCCTCCTGTCTGATTTGTCTTGATGTGTGAGAATTGACGAATCTCGGTTGGGTGAATTGAATTGAATACCGTAAACTCAATTAAGTGTGTTTTAGACTTTTGAACCAACTCGCAGCACTGGTTGTCCTGCTCCCTCACTGTCTGCGACATCATGATCTCACAGCATCCTGTGCGTGCTCGCAGGAAACCACAAGCTAGGCAAACAACAGCAAATGGTCTACTCACACCTGGTGATGCCCTGCTTGGCTGAGGCAGGAGCATGTCAGCCAGCAGCAGAGGATCTCGACCGCCTTCAGCATGTGGTTCACAACTGCGTGGTAATATCAGTTGCGCACGCTCACCTCTAGCAGCCCATCCACCATTGGCCTCAACTGAGATAGCTCAGATTGCTGCCATAGCTCCCATCAGCATTCCATGTACACCATCATCTGATGGCTCCCTCGACGAACCTATAACTATTGGTGTGCGTCGCCAAAGGGTGGATTCCGGTGTGAGTCTGGGTTGCCCTGTTACCCTTACGCCCCGCAGCACGAAACAGCTTAAAGTCTATGCAAATCAAATTGCGGAGGAAGTTGGTGTTCCAATCACCAGTCTTCATGAGTTTATCGATGTATGTATTTTTTTTTAACTTGCTGTAAATGTACATGATTTAATGTTCCTTCAGTGTGGAGGCATATACCAGATGCTTGTCAGGATCATAGCCCTTGTGCTCAAGAACGACGGTGACGAAAAACTTAGATTGCTCGCCAATCTGAAAGAGTTACTGGGCTCTAAAGATTTCAAGGTATTATTTGCCGTGTCTGCACACATCACGAGTCTGACTTATCATTTAATGAGTCTGCACTTCAAAACCGTCTGACCGCATGCATGCTTTCGCCCAATATCACTGCATGTGTGACAGATACACACCCACAGATCTTGGTAGATTCTTTCCGATGCTACGAATGGAAATTGAAGCAAACTGACACCGTGACAGAAATTCATCAAGAAACACCAAGATGTATTCAAAGTTCCGGCATTGCTGTTCGAAGACGTGGAACTCACCGCACTTTTTGCTAAGGTCGTCAGTGTTACGGCACACTAATTCTCTTTGCTTCTCCTTTGTTACCGGACAATGGTACTTAAACACAGCTGTTGATGAGCGACCAATTACTTTCCAGACTCTTACTCATATCATCGCCAAGCTAACTTTCCGTACTAGTAACCATCACTATGTTTGACCGATCATCTCTTATCAAAGCTGGGCTGTCCGCACCATGGTTACTATCTCCTATCTCTTATCTCTTATCGTCTACCAAGCGGGCTGTCCTGCCTTCTATCTTGATACGCATTTACAAGCTCCGCTTGAACTCTCAGCTATATAGATACATAGTGTACCACATGTAGTTCTTCACTTTAATCTACTGGGTTTTACCTGGAACTAGTCCTTTAGCAAGGTCTCCAACCTTGCTATCTCAGAACCATCAATCTAAGGAAGTCGCCGATACTTGCCTTAGCCAGAAACCTTTGACCTCTCATTCGAGAGAAGAACCACGTCTGTCTCGCCGAATCTCAGTCCACTCGGACTAAGACAGCTCGACATACCCCAGTCGTAACAGTCAGCGAGTCTCTCTCTACAATCCGTGGCAATATGAAATCTAAGGTGTGTAGCGCTAATAACAATCGCAAATTTTTCTGAAATAATATTTTTTCAGTTGACTGCATCTATTGCTAAACGCACCAGTATCACAGACGTGGCCAGATCCCTCGCCCATGGTTGTATTGAAGTTGACGCAGCTCATTGGAACAGGCTCGCGTTTTTGGTATGTTTTTATCACAACGAATATTATATAGATAGTAACCTCTTGAGACTAGCGACGCTGCTTGCGTGTCTACTTACTCGGCACTGGTAACTACAAAACCGTGCCTCTGCGTACTCTTTACTCCCCCCTGCTTGTACCTTCTCTTCCGAAAGAAGTCCGCCAAAAAATCGGACCACAGCTTGGCATCGACATCGATGAGATAGAGCACAACATGCTCGACGGTGACGCCGAAGAGGACGACAATGACACTGATGCCTTTCAAGATGATATCGCTCATGAAAATGCAGCCCCCAGGAATGTTGATGGCGACGATGGCCATGATGGGAATGAGAACGTTGATGCAGATGCGGACCACAATAAGGACGACGCAGACTTCGAGGCTGATGTGAACGACGTGGCGGACATTAATGTGGACGGATCAGTCGTCACAGAGAAAGACCTCTACACGGCGGGAAGGTTTTGGAATTTTGTAGACTCCTCGCTCGCAGGCGCGCGCAAGGCTGCGAAGGAACAAGCGATGGAAGACAAGGGTCTAGCGTATGAGAAAGCATATAGCGAGTAAGTTTCTTGTTACCGGGTGTTGCGCCTTGTTGCTGATTATCACAAAGCATCCTTGTGCAGTACCTACAGCAGGATCTTTCTGATTTTCCTGGAAATACCAAAGTCCCAACGCTCCTCTCCACCAACCGCCCCCAGTGGCAATTGACCATTCAGAACCAACTCCTTTGGAGCCATGCGTAACGCTCGTTTATACTCTGCCTTGACACCATAGTAATCATGCCTGTACATACTATCTACCAGTAATCTAATATTTTGTGTGGCTCGTTCCATTTATTGTGCACTCTTTCAGTGTGAGGATGGTGTGCGGGTGTCATCTAAGTATATTATATCTGAGAATTCAATCATATCAAGGTATTGAGCATATCTATATACAACATATGAAAGCTACCCTGTGTGACAGGTACGAACGAGATGTCTGTGCTAGATGTGGTATAAGATATATTCAGCACTTGTCATTTCCTATATAGACTAAAGCTCGGGTAACTAATATATTTTGAGTGTCTTGGTGATGTGTCTCAGTGGTCGTTAGTATATTTCTCAAGCCCGGCACATTCTCTCTTCACTAGGACTATAATATATTTATCTCCAATAAGTGGTGCGAAAGTGATGTGACTAAGGTCGTGGAAATATGCGCTACAGCTTACTATTTTTGGGACTGTATAATAGATTTTCGGCAGCAAGTAGTGTATATCCCTGGGAATGTAACCAGAGAGCCTCCAACCAGAATCTACGAAGGTGAGCAAAGACCTGTGGTTAGATCTTTCAGTCGTTGAGAGTTGCCGTCGGTGGGTCTGAGAAAGTATCCAATTTGGTTGGTCAATCAGAATGAACAGGAGTTATTATAATTTGCGAGCCGAGGCAGAGTCGGGTCCGGGGAGAATATGTCCAGCGGAGTTTGAATACAACTACATATATAAGTACTGTCGACGCCCGTATATCGCATAAATCGGCGCAACCCTTTCCTCTAATTGGATGGTTTAGACAGGTTGAGCTAAAGATAGGTGGATCATTTCAGACGTGTCATTCTATTAAATGCAAAAGAATATCACGCTTGACACGATCCACCGCAGGCTAGGCTCCATTCACCTTGCTGTGAGTTCGAGATGTGACAAACTTGGCGTACACAGTGGCACGTCACTTTTTCCGGTATCTATTCTTGTTCATTCACGCGTAAGCCCCAAGTATAAAAATATAAATCACTGCTGATCTCCTCTCATTCTACTAGACTTCATATGTTATTGGCATATGTCGCTTTTCATTTGCCTGACGTCTGTCGTAGTGACATGATAAACAGTTTATTATAGCTTATGTTGTGAATTTGTACGCTTTGTATCCCGATGCATGCATTGCCTCTTCCCTCAGTTGCGTGGGCAGTAAGCCGGATTGCTATCAATATTCTTGCAAACATCTTTGACATTGAGAGTTCCTGCTAGCAATCATTCAGTGTCAATATTCAATTATGACGTCGAGCTTCACTTTAATGGTTTTTGTAGGATTTGGACTTGCGAAACTGCTCTATAGGTACGTCCCTAGTACCTGCATTTGATGATCTAACTACTGACTATAGTTGCAACAGTTTCTACTATCTCATGCAGAAGATCCTCAGACAACACTGACGTACCTCAACAAATACCCGAAGGCCTTTTGGTCCCACTATCACCAGTAAACCATATGCACGGTGGTTGGATGGGTGATTTCAGTCATATATCTTTGAAAACGTCTCACTGACGTGAACAGGTAGGATATCAGTTAGCCCGACTATACGTGAAAGTTAACGTTCACCTTGTTTCCCTTAGAATCGACATGCTCCTCAACCGATTGGATAGCATCAACGCTGGTGCCGTCACGTTGTAAGCCTACATCTAACTGTCTACCTTGCATGACTCGGAGACTTATCGTCTGTAGATGTTGCGCCATTCTGGCGGTCACCATTCTAAGCGGACGTCGAAGATAGTCCACCGCCAAAGCTAACTCCAATGAGTTTCTCGGTCACCAAATGATCTAGTGTTCATTATTTTTGTCCAAGTCCAAAGCGCACGTCTGTCTGATCTATTTTCCATCCTTGACTCCTAGCTGATACTCTGAGCAGTCCAAGTGATATCGTTTTTAGCATCGTGCGTATCGTGACTTTATCACAGACCAGGTTAAACGCCCACAAAAGACCTGAAACGGCCAAGCAGACCGTTCTAGTCAATGATGTTGTGCTTTCACCAATGTCGAACTTTTCGACATTCAAAATATTACACCACAAGCCTTCGTACTGCGACCAATTCTTATTTATGATCGTTTGGGACTCGAGTCATGCGTTTCAGCTACCGGTTGAGAGAATTGTGACGAATATTCATGGCGATACTGGAGAGGTGAGTCCGCACTGACGGCCCAGTATGGGATGGACACACTGTACTCGATTCATTGCTTACCGCCAGTGATTTTTCAATGTTCATCATTAGTGCAAGGCAACACTGTAGATTAAGCCTGCACTAATCGAATAATTGATTATCTGTTCGTGGACGACAGGATTTTGGGCTGTGCACCCGGGGTAGTGATTGTTCTATTACGGGCGTGCTACTACATTGATGATGTGGCTTGGAGTGCCACGCTGGACGTTCGAGATAAAGCGCTGGCTTCAGAGGAATACCTGCCTTGAATGAAATATGACGCCTAATCCGTGATAGTGAACACACGAGCTGCAAAATAGTCATGTTATATCAACTGGACTGGGTACGAGATGCGCGATACGATAGAACGGGGGGTCAATGACGACAGGAACTAGAAGCACACTAATCCTGTGCATCATCAGGTCCCACGTTCCGATGCTTGCGCCGCCTAGGGATCAAAATTCAGGACATGTTCATAGAGCAAGGAAGCTGCGTACATGATGCTACCAATACGCGGGAATTTCCACCGCTTGGAGTCTACAGATGCTGCAGACCTATTGAACATAGGAAAGCGCTTCCAAAACGACTTTGGAGGTGAGGCTAGGACCGGAGTAGAAGCTGAAGCAAGAGGTATTTGAGGACGAGAGGAGCCTTGAGGGAAAAAATATGGGGAAGGGGATGCAGTTGTACCGCGCGAGTTGATGGTTTCTGGAAGCACTTGGATTCTGTCAGAAAGCTCGACTGCAAGAGAGGAGCCGGCTGGAGTAGTAATTTCATGATTGGAATGACTTTGAGGGGGCAGAGATGGGGAAGGTGAGCTAGCAGCATCACGCGAGCCTACAAGTTCTGTCATGAACTCGGTTCCATGCAGTAGCTCGTCCGAGGCTGGTGTTGAAAGAGAATCGGAGCTTGCTAACGGCTTCAATAAAACTTGCATCAGATGTACTGCTGTGTAGGCAAAACACAAATTTATTACCTGGTTAATGTAGCTCGCGATGTTGGATGCTGGGGAAACGAATGAGGGCGACACCGCATTCGTCATGATGGTGGATTCCTGTGATATGTCCCACAAAAATATGATGTTCTGCACATCCCCGGTGGCGACAAGCTGGCCGTCAGGCGAGAAGGCTACTGTGGCTACCTCAGAGGCATGCTGGAGTACACGACCAAAAGGTTTTCGGGTAGAGATGCTCCACAGCCTGGCAGTGTGATCCCTGGACGCACTGGCTATCAATTCACCATCAGGTGAGATGGCCAACAAGTTAATGTGGTCGGAATGTGCACGCAGTGGGGATCCAAGCTGGGCACCAGTCGGTGCACTCCAGAAGTAGATCTGGCCATCACGACAGGCAGAAATGATACGACGACTGTCTGGAGACCAGACTACCGAGCCCACTATTGCGCCATGGGAAAGTGGTTGTGTTTGTTGCTTGCCGGTCCCTGCGTTCCAGATACGAACCGTCTGATCAAATGACCCGCTCGCAATCTTGGTTCCATTGGGAGAATAGGCCACTGTCACTACAACGCCCTGATGATCATCGATGTCGAATACAAGTTCCCATGTCTCTACATCCCAGATCTTTAGTGTGCCGTCGGACGATGTGGAGGCGAGTCTTTTCTCATCAGGTGAGAACCGTACGCAAGTGACCCAGTCTGTGTGATGCGACAGACATCTGATAATCTCCTTCGTATCTGCATCCCATATGATGATCTTGCCATCTTCCGCCCCACTCACAATTCTCCTTTCATCTATTGATACAGCCAGTGCATAAGTTTTACTAGCGTGCCCCTCCAACGAGTGTTCCTGTTCTCCTGTTTCCACGTCCCAAATCCGAACCGTCTTGTCGTTGGATGTGCTTATGACTTTGAGTTTGTTCCTGTTTTTTGAGAACAACACTTCCTGTACCCAGCCAGTGTGGCCTCTGAGCGATCCGATTGGGGATAGGGATGATTCCATGTGATCGTTGCCAGTGTGGATGAGGATATGTGGGTTGTGGGTTAGATCAGTTGAGACAAAGTAGATCAGCGTTACTAGGCGAAAGCAATCAGATAGTAGTGCATAGAAAGTTTAAGGACCGATAAGGATCGAGCCGAAAGAGCAGGCGGCGCTCATTGCACATACTTAGAGCGCCTATGGTGTCAAATAAATGTGTGATCAACGGTTGTGTGTGTCGTGCATCGCCTGTATCGGGTTACCATCAGAAAGTACAGGGACATCGACGATTCAACTTGCATAACAGGGTACACCTTTCTAGTCCGGGCCCGGGATAGCTCTTGCACCAACGGCTTCCGACACACTTGATAGTCTCTCACAAGTGTGCTCTGCAGCATGTCTTAAATGAAGCGTCAACCAGAGTGTTCAAACTGATGAGAAATTGACGCACACTGGCAGCAACCACGCACTGCTTCTCGCAGCACCAACTAATGTTTATGCCTTCCATGATGTGCCGAAGGAGAGGCTAATAAAGAGAGAGAGCGGGATGATCAACCGGGTAGCTGTCGTCCGAGTCAATGACGGTAGGAAAATCCAAATGATTGCACCGACACGCTAAGTATCATGTATCAATCTATCAGACGAACCAAAGTAATAGTCAGAGCAGGACGCGATGCACGTGACCGCGTTTGATGAGCTTAGCGTTCGTCGAGCCGTCTCGTTGGGCCATCGTTGCTCAAAATGAGTACAGTACTGTTTAGAAGTAGACCCCTTCGCCGACATGGGCATCATTCAGAGTCATTCACGGACCCCGCTTCTTACCAGTCTTATTGTTGTATGTCCATCATCGACTCTGAATTCAGAATAGTGAAAGTAGCTTAGCCTGAGTGTACACGTGAGGTAGCCTATTATACCACTTTCATCCCGGTGACATGGCATTTCTTCTATCCGCGTCTCCTTCAGTTATAGTTATCCCTCCCGGTAGTCGTGGAATGGTGGATCGAAGTGTGCGACTGCGTTCCTGGCGGGGTCGTGCGGGTGCCCGATATTTATGGGAGATCAGCCGGTACTTACTTGACTAAGTCACCTTCACCCAGTTTCTCTCCAAAGATCGACTTCAAAGCGTCTTCCTCTCGACTAATCATCTTATCGCCACTTCGACTATTCACACTCTCCACGCACTCAGATCTGCATTCTATACAAGGTCAACGTGCGGAGATTCAGAACAGCGAATATGAACACCCACATGAGATGGACGGGCCGCTCGCGTATATAAGAGAAAACCTAGGATGCGAACAACACTAGTGCTGAGCGGGGCCCGCGACAGTCCGAGTCACAGCCGTGCCGAACAGCAAGAGAAGCCACGAAGAAAAAAATACCCGACTTAAGTGCTTAGTAGGCTAGTTCCATAATCTTTCGACGCGAACAGACCTCATGACGTGGAAGGCGGCGACTCGATAGTTATTTCTGTCAATGGATTTAATTGCCCTGAATGTGAGTCATGCGTTGTAAACAGCATATTTCAAGGGGTAGTCGGTATAAGCGATACCTGCATGGTATTAGATCATGGGAAATGGCCTTGTATCAGTGGTTGAGCGTCGATGCTGGTCGGAAGCTGGGACTTGGAAATCATCATTTGATCCAGCCAGATAAGATCTTTCTAAAAATATAATCGAGTTAGAATGGGCATCATATAAGTGACAAGTCTAGCCGGAACTCAGCTGAATCACCGTCTGATCAGAAAAACACTAAATGAGGTTACTTTCAAAAATACGATCAAGTCAGAATGTGTATTATAAGTCTAACCGGAACTTAGCTGAATCACCGTTTGATCCAGCGAAACTAGGATTACTTTCAAAAATATAATCAAGTTAGAATATGCATCACAGACGGTGGTCCGCCGATTCCTTGCGTGGATTAAGTTTGAAGATCAAATAAGAAACGACCAAAATACGGACGCACCACCTTGAACTGCCTATGTCAACCGACAGCGGTGTCCGATCCCATGACATATGATCATAGTTCATTGTCAAAAGAGGATTTACAGATTTGACCAAGGAACTAAGAAGTATCTGAGAAGAGACATCTTGACGTTCGTTGCTTGAATCCGTGTTCGAGGCAGCAGAATCCGCGATTGAAACCATCGGGTTCCATTTCACATCGAATGTGCAACTAGCTATAACAGTCCGTTAGACAAGTCAGGAACAATACGACCACAATAGACTCCACGGTCGGGCCGAACATTTGAATGAAGAAGGAAAACGACAACAAGAGTCTCGGAAGTTGCCGCGGAGCCTGGTGTGTTGCGTCTCGAACAACGTACCACGCCACACGAGAAATTCGAAAGTCGTCGAAAGGACGGCTTGATGAAAGGAAAGGAATCTGATAAAAGGGACATTTATATGTCCTAACAAACACATCGGACGAGTCATAATTGAATATCCTGTCGGAGCTGAGATCATATATGAAATCAGGGAGGATAATGGCAGGGAGGACATCAGCAGTGAAAACCGAGCTATTATTGTAAGCGATAAGTCTGAGTCGACTAGTTGTAGCAGGGTAGTGTACTTACCTTCTGCACCTCGGAATCCAAGCGCTAAGCCGCGGGAGAATCCTGAGAATCTGATGTAACACGGCGTGGGGGATCTACATACTAAGTTCGTGTAACTAGCCCTAGCTTGGCGAGCTCCAAGTCCGACCAGAACAAGTATGGCCTTCGACTGGTGTTGTACTGTTCTAGAACTGGACTTTAGTTTCCGCACTTCGAAGTCCTAGCCGCGGATATTCTATTATCCCAAACACATCTTGCCGCACCATATACGCCAGGGCGCCTTCTAACCCCCAGACCTTCGATTATCACGTGAAAAACCGGGGGAGATCTTATCGTAAAAAGTTCAAGTAATGGTCTCGCCATGAACGGTATACGCACTACTACGGTGTGGCGCAAATCAGGAATCACGTAGACATGAGTATTTGGTTATCCCTTATATAGCGATGGAAATGGACATTAACATTGAATATTTGGGTGATCGAATCTAGAACGGTACGTACGTATACACATTTGCATCCGTGGCGCAGTGCCGTGTAAATCTTGTAAGAAGTGGGCATGGTGGCGGCTGCAAATCCACGAAAGACGCCGAGCGGGAGTGCCACAAAGTGGGGGATCTGCGGTGCGAGTCTGATCATGACGAGATGCGCGGGGTGAGGATGTCGAGAAGGAGTAAACTGGAAGAACTCACTATTTGGTATGATCCATCTTTACAATCCAGGTGTCCATCCATTAGTGCGTTCGAAATCGAACTGTCAGTAGAAGTGTCGGAGTGAGGCACTTGGTAGATAGCGATACTATTTTGAGAGACTGCGCTTTCCAAACTGATGAGTCATGCCTACGCCACCCGACAGCTTGAAGATATGAATGAGGACTAGACTAGACTAGGGTGGCGATTGTGAACGACATTGTCAGGTGATGAATGATTAATGAGAAGTGACGGGCGAGGGAATTAGAAGACGAACATGGGCTAGTCTAGAGAAGAATGCGAAGAATTATTATAGGTATCGTTTCCGATTGTCCTACGTACACGTGAACGGATCGTTCGTAGAGTGACTGGAAAGACGGGTTTGCCGACTTGGAAGGCCGTGTACGACAGGATGTAGGGCATAATGTTCCAAAGACGTGCCCGACACCGAGTGCGTGGGGGCGCGGAAATGAAAGTTAATGAAGCGTTACCTACAGAGGGGCTTATCTCCCCGTGTAGGGTCGGTGGAGATGCAGCTGGTGTGAAGTGTTCTATAGTTGGCTTGAGATATCATGGAAGAAGCGTGGCGCAGACCATCGCGTATGTTGAGGGGGCGGGATGCCGAAGTGACGCGAAGGCGTATCATGGCGACGCGGCACCTGTCACGTGAGCTAAGAGATTCAGACTTGAAGCGGGAATGGAAAGGTTAAAATTTTAGAGGGAGTGTATGAATTGATGATGCGCGCACGGGGAAGTATGCAAGTATTTAAAGATGGGCGCACCATGGGCGGGGATGGACGGCGAACACGAGAAGGACTTCCTTGAAATAGTAGGGAGCGGTGCTAAAGAAGAAGTCGCGGAGGATGGTAGTCAGGAACGAGCAGTATGACCATGCGGTATTCGCAAAAAATTAAGGTGTGACGAAAGAGTTGGAGCGAACATGGTGATATCTCGGGAGAGGTTAGACAAGACGGATCAAATTTAGTGGGAGAAGGCATCAGAGTCGTCAGCGAATTGAAGTCTGGATACGAGGAATATGTTTTATTGCACAGATTCTCTAGTGAATTGAGGACCGGGGGCTGTGATTCACGCATGTGCACTCGAAGAGGTTGACCGGTTAGTCATCGAATCGATGGCCGGACCCGCGGAAACAAAATTAGGGCGGACGAGCTATGATTGGGTGGCGGTACATTATCAAGTACTTACGGGAGTGAATAAGTTAAATAAGGAGCGGCCATGTGTTGGCTTTTCATTTCCTTGTCGACATCGTCTCGTTCTCGTTCGAAGCATTCAGGCCATTGTTACAATGCGTGTGCTGCAACTCGTTTACTGAACGATCAACGATACACGAGTGATCATATCTCGACGGCGCAACTCTGTGATTGGGCCCGGTGATTCGCAGAACCCGGTAACTTTGCATACAACAAACGCACGCTAGGGGAGCTTACTAGGAACCTCAACCATCTTCCAGGACGACCAAGGGTGGATTTACTCTGGATCTTAATCCCAAGACAAACGTCTTATCCCGACTACCCTACTAAAGCTATCAGCATCTTTCACGACCAAGACACGATATACGAATCCGATTTGCGTTTAACTCTATTAATCCAAGACATTAATTCAGTCGGCATGTCTAACCGCCGGACGCCAGCTGATGTCCATCAAACTCAACCCGCAATTCCTACCTCCGGATGTAAGTCCCACTATACTATCCACTATTAGCCTTTATTCAATTTCTATTTCTCTTTACCTGAATAGCGAGCGAACAACTACAAGATAACCAGCCTCGCGCTCAAGGACATTCCCTTTCTTCTTCTTCTGCTTCTTTCCACCAATCCACTTCCGTACCACCAACTACAGCTGACCAGCAGTGGTTTCCAGCATCTCAGCAGATGATCGTCACCAGCTCTTCCTTCTATGACCCTACTCAGGCCTCAGGCTTTACAGCCCAGCAGCCTTCCATGAACGTCTGGAATACCCAATTCACAGGTCCGGGTGCCGAATACTTTCACCGACAACACCCGACATACCAGCAACCGTATGACACCTTCGAAGGAGCAGAGACAAGCCAGTATTCATTTGCTCAAAACCAAGTTAGAGAGCAGCAGCAGCCTGAGCAGCATTCACAACAGCGCCGCCTTATACCCCCACGGCACTCGGCACATGGTGGTTCCCGGACTTCTGGGTACTATAGGCAGAGGAGCGCTGAAGGCCAGGTGAGTCTTTGAATCCCCCTATCACGTGATCGAAGCGACTCTCGAGGTGCTCTTGGAATTTCCCTTACGTTTTCCGTTCATTGATCCCCTTTATCTTCACTTTCTTCATTCCATATTTCTTTTGTCTTTCTCCTTCCTCTCTCTGATGCACCCTTTCCAGCAACACGCAGGTCAATACTCACAGCTCCCTTCCGTTTCTCCCAATCCTCCTTCAACCCATCCTTCACCTCCTCAGCCCTCTCAACAGCCAACAGGCCAAGCCCTCGCTGCACAGCGTACAACTGAATTAATCACAGGTCAATTCCTGCCAGCGCAAGCCGAACAGCAGTACCCGGCTCAGCAGCCCCAGCCCCATTTCTCGCCCCCTCCTACCCAGTCCCAATTCCAGATCCAACAAACCCAGTTCCCGCCTACTCCACAGTTTTCCCAGAGTCAGCCTCAGGCTAGGCAGCAGAGTCAGTTTTCACAATCCCACCATCCTCGTGTCCCATCGCAATCGCACCCTCACGCTACAACGCAATCGCATACTCACGTCCCATCGCAATCTCGTGCCCACCCTCATGTTCAGTCGCATACCCAACCGCAACCTCAGATTCACGCCCCTCCGAATCCACCCCGACAGTCTCAACACTATTCGGGACCATCAGATTCCTATTACCTTCAGAGCGATATGTATTATGCAATCAATACGCAAGGGAATCAGAGTGCGCCTAGCCTTGTGAGTCTCTTTCTGCCTGTTTTGGACTTGGATTTTTGGATGGTGGCGTACCCAAACATGTGTCAGTGGGTACTGCCCCTATGCCTTGCTCTTTTTTGGGGGTCGGTTTAGACAAAATGGCGTTCATATACGCGACCGTGTATGGATGCTCCCCCTATACTTTGTGCCTGGTTGTCGTTAGTCTCTTTCCTTATTCTTCGATGATGTCTTGTTCGGTTCCATTTTTTACCCGGTCAAGCCGGTTCATTTTTTTCAGATACCGTTGGACGCCATAGGCATATGCGCCAATGTATGGGTACTATACTTTGTGCCTCGTTACCTTCTGTTTCTGAGTTCAACAGCATACGTGGACATGCATGCAGCATATATGCGTCCATATCCGCTTTATACCTCTCCGATTTTCATCTTTTGTCTCGATTCGCGCTTACGATGAATCGTTTCATGCCATCCTCCCATTGTTCTACTTCGCGGCACCATCCGACACGGGACATTCTTACTTCCTTGATCATGCCCGACTTGCTATCGACGTTTGAATCGTTGACTGATTGACAGCACTCGCACACGCAGAGTACTGCCAGTCTTGTGGGTGTCTTTAACGCTTCGTATTTATGCGCCCGTGCAGGGATGTTATTTCTTTCACTGCGCTGCGCGCTTTTTGTTATACTTCGTGCCTCGTTTTTCTTCTTTTTTTTCATGGCGCTGGTCTGTTTATGATGTGCCAGTATTGGGTGCTATCTGCGCCTTCCGCTATGCTCCGCTCCTCATCATTCTCATCTTTGATCTTGAATCGCGCTGACGATTAATTATTTCACGCTACCCCGTCCTGTTCTCTTCCGCGGAACCATCTCATTCTTATCAACTTCCTCGATCACACCCAACTTGCGATCACTGCTTGATTGACAGCGCTCGACCCACGCGCATTCGACGTCTCCCCACTCGCCTTTTGCAACGTTTGGGCCTCATACGCCACCTGGAAATTCGCACACGCCTCCTAGTGATAGTGGTGAGTGTGGTTTTTCCTCTTGTTTTGGTTTGTTTTGGTTTGTTGTGTTCTTTTCTTTTGCTTTCATTTTCCATAACGTTCTCTCGATTATCAATCATGGCGCAGGGTCAATTTGCACCGAACACGTGGTGCCATGCTTATTGGCTGCGTAAACGACACTGGAAGCTCTTGACAAATTGTCGTTGAGGGACCAGGTTGTTTCTGATCGAATGTTCTCTCAACTTTATTTTGAAGCGGGGTCAATGCTTAGGGTTATACTATGTTACGTTGTCGGACTTCGTGAACCCCTTCGGGATGCAATGAGTGCTTGCCCAGCACAAGCCTCACCTTCTCGTTTACTGGAATTTGCGCACGACATAGGATGAAGTGCTGGTCATAATGATCTGGCATCTTATATGTAACTGCGCTGACGGCATCGATCACCTCGTGTCAAAATTAGCGCTCCGGCACAGTCGATTCATTGTACCCGAAAATCATCTCTCTACTTCTATATTGTACCATCTTTTTGCTACCATATGTTGCGGGGTTCCGTGTCTTCTAGCCTGCATCATACTAACATTTATCTTTTCTTGTCTACCTCCGACACAAACAGGCCCCATGCTTGGACTCCCGCGCTCACACGACTCTGTCTCTCCGGCCTCGTACGCAAGCCACCCTACGTCCTCCTCATTCGACGATTCGTCTTCGGGGCATCTAGCCTCGTCTGTGAGCTCGGGTAACGTGCACATGACTTCACAGGGCATGGGCCATGCTGCAACTTCGTCGATCTCGACTGTCACCCCTGGGTCGCCGCCAATGGTCGCAGCCCCACAGCAACAGCAACAGCAACAGCAACGTGCGCAGATACGTCAACGCCCGATTATGCCTATCACTGCGACAGCGACAGCGCCTCAGGCAGGTCCTGCACGGCCTCCAATTGTACCGAAGCCGCCCGCTCCTCGCCCTGCAACAAACCGAAGGGCTCGTGCTCCAAAGCGACCAAGGCCATCAACATCCCAGGGCGGTGAGGGTAGGGGTGGGGACAGTGATGATGATAGTGATGACGATGATGTGGTAGAATGGGCTGGACCATCTGTGCCTCCACAAGGCGCGGCTACAGGGGTGGGTCAACGCAAGTGAGTGACCTCGTACGCTTGTTAAATCGGGAATAGTGTGCTGATCGGGCTGTGTTTTTTTACGTTTTTCTCTTTTTCTGTTTCCTCGCTTGCTTTCCGTAATCGTGTTTCTGCAAATGGTTTGGTTTGCTGAACCTTACGTGGTCACTAAACTCATCTGTGTTGGCGCAACGGCCCTGTCCTGATATCGTGCATGCTCGATACTGCTGGCATCATTGGCGACTACTCTGGTTATGTCAATTGTTGGCCCCGATAACAACCAACTCGATTAACATTGGATCCGACTCTATGTTTCTGTCTGGTGACTGTTTAACGGTGTTACTGCGGCCCAAACAACCGAACTAACCTGGACGTGTGTATGACCTTGATGGCACGCATGATCTTGTATGCTGGACGGAACTTTGTTTTCTCGCTGCGCTCCATCCTTATGTGCTGGTTCTGGTTGCGGTGCTGTTTTTGTTTGTCACACAATTTCCGCTGACGTCGCGCTACCTGCACATTGACACCTGTCAACTGCGTTAAATCTGCTCCTTCTGCTTACTCAAAAATTGTTGGTTTGTGATCGTGACACTATCATTTTTTCATTCCGGTCTGCGATGCGCGCTGGTCGGATATGCTTTAACTTGTGCACTTCCATGTTTATTCGTTCTTCCTCATTTTGTTGCCTTTTTCATCGGTGTTCCTACCCTTGGCGCGGATGGCTATGTTCTGTGTTGATAAATCTTTCATCTTTCCATTCCAACCTTCTGCTGCGGCTGATTTCACTTGGCGCAATGTTTGACTTGGCCCTTTGATCTGCGATCGTTGCGGATATCCTACTGTTAAAACTTCTACACAACCTTGTTCAATTGACATGTAACTCGGACCGGCTATCGCTGCTGTGCCTACTCCCGACTCCGGCTGTATTTTCTGTCTTTCCGCTCCGGCTACACCTGTTACCGACGCTAAACTCTGTCGCCGACTCGACGTCGCCGCACCTTCTTGCGCTGGCCTTGACTTGCTCTAATTCTGTGCTTCTCAATTTCATCATTCTACCGGTTTGACAACCCCCGTTTCTGCGACTCGGCTATATCCACGTTCTACACGCTATACGAACGTTCTACACGCCTTCGTCGCCTGCCTGTACGGTGTCTTTGGACGTATCACCTCGTGAAAATACACGCATCGACAATGATGATGGTTTTGCTTGCCTAATCGACCTGCTTCCCGTCCGGCGCTTGTGCCTTGCCCCACATGTTTCATCTTTTCGGTTCGGCGATACTTTCTCCGCTAACCACTGCTACGTATCATCTACCTCATCTACCCGACTTTGCGCTCTCACGGATGCCACTGCAGAACTGGAGCGTGTACACATTGTAAACGTCTGAAGGTACGTTATCGATCTCTTTGCACTTCCATTCCATATATTATGATGTTATGATTGATTGCTTACCAAATCCACGTTCTCCTATTTACCATGAATTGATCTTTGCAATCTACGACACGATGCATTTCGTCATGAATTCATGACGCCTCCGGCCTACTCTGCTCCGAACATGCATTGGTGTCTCATCTGCCTCGACGAAAACTCGTGCCCTCACTTTCGGACCTCCTTTTGGACCACCGCTTCTCCTTACTGGGGCTGTTACGGGTCCTTCACACGGCATCATTATTGCTGTTACAACTGAAATCTGTTAACCTCCGGCGATGGCTCGTAATTCTTCACACCTGCGGACTTCCATCCACATCTTCTGATATTACACACGTTATATTCGCTGCTCGGTCCTCCACTCGGCACGACTCGAATGTGTGAATGTACCCCGCACATTTATGCGCGCCGCGTTGCCGGGTCCTGATCACTTTGATTGTCGGAATTTAACTTCCCGAAATGACCGTACTCCTGGCCTGGCATGGATGTCATGTGATTACCACTGACTTCGATTGAATGATCCGCACATATTCGTTCGATCTGTTTGCACTGGTCTCCGGTTGACGTTACAGATGAAATGCGACTTTCCGGATGGAGCTAGTACTTGTAAACGTTGTGCAACCGGAGGACACCCTTGCATCGTAGAAGGTCGTAAACCGAGGACAGCGCCAAAGTAAGTCCCTAACTCATTCACCTGATTCCAAAGCGACGATCATCCTTTATTTATGTCGTAACTTCTCGTTCTTTATTTGGAACCGGTGCATGCCTTTGTACCGACTATATTTTTTACGCTTGTCTTGCCATTGGCTAGCCTTCTTGCTAAGTCAAATGGGATATGACAGCCCTGAACTCCAGCATGGAGATCTGGGCCGACTTGGAAAAATCTTCTTCATTTTCGGACATTTCATATCGCCATTTTCTTCACACTTTCCGTTTCCGTTATCCTCTATTCGTCGTTCATGCTGCGAATTAAGCACAAATCGTGCCAGTCTTGCATCCGGGTTGTGTTTCATCGCATTCTCCTGTTTCCTATTTAAACCTGGTTGCTTTTTGGTCATCAGTCATTCCCACTGTTTTCTCTCTGTTGACTGTTCTTCGTATGCCCCGTTCGCGATCTTCATCTATTGATTCATCATCGTCGTCTTCATCTTGTGATACTGTTTCATCCGCGATGTCACAATACTCATACAATTGTCCCCGTGTTAGCAAACGAGAGTACCTCTTGGCTCAGATCCGTCACAAGGATCAGATCATAGAGTCTCTGTTGAAGCAGGTGGGTCGTTCGTCATGCTATTTCGATACGTTCCTTCACCGACGACCTCTGTCGAGCAGTTGCACAACCCTTACCTTGCGACACCACTTTCGGTTGCATCCTACAAAGCAGCTACATCACCATCTGACAGTGACAACATGAATGTTGTTGACTGGCTTGATCGTCTGCAGGCCAGTCTCAAGCAACCAGGAATGGCCTCGCCTACCGACCCTGACTTCCTTCGCAACTTGCGCAACCCCTCTGCAGTTACTGTGGATGATTCTGAGGATGACGATCCCGACGCTCAAGAGGGTCCCGTCGAAGAGGAGGACGTCGAGAAAGTCAGGAACTCGCTCCCTGATGCTGCTGTGCCTATTGGGCTGCTCGCAAACTTGTCTTTAGACAAGGATAAAGATAAGGGTAAAGGTAGAGGTCGCCAAGGTGGTAACACTGGTGCAGGTGGAACTAACACGAAACCCGAGGACGACGACGACAATGTGGTAAGTAATTGCTGTTCTCGTGATGCTGGTCCCGTGTTTATGACGGTAATTACTTGTAGGGTGTGGCCAATAAGGAGTACTTCTTACCTGGTAAGATGCCATCGTGGAACGACAATACATGCTGTTTCTAATAACTTAGTAGGTCCAGCCTCGAACCTGAATATCCGCAAAAACTTGGTGGAACAGCACACACCGGAAATAATTCTCCACGGACTTGTGAATAACACTGACGTCGAAAAGCTTTTCGATATGTAAGTTCACACAGTTCGTTCTTTACCTTCCTTCTTCTGACGCATGTCCGTCAACACAGATTCTGGAAGCAAATCAATGTAAGTGTATGCTTCCAAAGCTAGGAGGATGCTGCGACTTATCTAACTTACAGCCATTCATTGGCCTCCTCGATCCCACGTTACATACATCTCAATCCATCTTCCAAAGGTGCCCCTTCTTGTTCACCGTTAGTACGTGATCATTCTCTTCACATGCTTTGATAAATGCCTGATTTGAGATGCACAGTCTGCGCTATTTCTTCCCGTTATTACAAGGAAAAGTCCGAGATCTACCCTGTTGCTATGCACTTTGCAAAGCACTCCGCAGCTAACGCGCTAATCGACGGCTGGAAATCTGTCGAGCTATGCCAAGCTTACATTCTCATGAGCATTTATGCTGTCCCAGCTCGCAAGTGGGAGGAAGACAGAAGCTGGTTGTACACAGGACTTGCCGCGCGGTATGCAATTACACCTTTTCTTTCGTTTCTAGAGCTTATCGTTGTCACTCTAGGATTGCTACAGACTTGAATTTGCATCAGGTCTCTACGACACAGCCCCAGACGGAGCGGCAGGAACGAGAGATGTTGAATCGCGCTCGCGTGTGGATGATATGTTTTAACATCGATAGGTCGACTGCTACGCAGTTTGGCAAGCCATCGACGATCAAGGAGGATTATATCACTCGTCATTCCGCGGACTGGTACAAACAATCTCGTTTCAAAGATAAGGTGTGTTCCAATATATGGTCTCGTTTCGAGGTGCTGATCAGTCGTACTGAAGTTTGATATCCACCTCTGCGCTTATTCAACGCTTCTTCGCATCGTGGGCCGGTTCCATGACGACATTTTCTCAGACCCCAACTCGCCAACCGGTTTAAACAAGGTTTGCGCCCTTCATTGACGTCTACTTCGTGACTAAACCGGCCTTGCAGGGTATAAACTTCCTTCAGGTTACGTTAGAACACGATCGTCATCTTACAAACTATTTTGAGGAATGGACTAGACGCTTTAATGAGGAATCTGACCCTGGAGGTACGATTTAATTCCAGAATATAGTCAAACACGTGCTCATCCATGTGCCTTAGATCCTGGGAGCGTATTCCGCTGCACTCTGCTACCCTTGTAAGTTCTGTGTGTTTCAATCTGCTGCGAGACAAGCTGATGTGCTTCTAGCTTGGTCAGCTATTCGCGTCTTGTCATGTACTCTTTCGGATTTCAACACGCCTTCCAACGCGGCATGGAGGCGAGTGACAACGTCTTTCTTGATAAGGTCAGTACTGTTATGGCCCATATCTCAAGTCATCTTACCGAACTTCATGCAGTGTTTCGAGTCCGCAAAGGTCGTCATTAAGCAAATGATCGAGGTGCTGGCACCTAGCGGTCTTATGCGCGCTGCCCCTGATGGTAAGATATTATTCTAATCGGTGACGTTCTTGGTCTCATGATACTCCAAGGCCACTTTGTCTTTGCGTCTTTCGCCTCTGCATTCATGCTCAAGGTAAAGACTTACATATCCAATGTGGCGCCGTTCTTACCTTGTAACTTAGCTTCTGCGTCCTGAGTTTGCTCAACTGTTGACCCGTCAGATGGAGGATGAGATCTTCGAACTCATTGGTCGCCTGATCACGACGCTTCAAGATGTTGCCATTGATGAACGTCACACACCACGCCTATATGCTCGATTCCTCGCCAGCCTTCTTACGAGACATAGGAAAGGTGGAGGCGCTGTTGGTGGGCGTCTTCAACACGTTCCACCTCAAAGTCAAGTTTCTCATCAACCTGAACCTCGTAACTTCGCCTCGCAATCTTCGTTGTCATCTTCAGGAGCAAGATACTCTGGTGGACCAGCGTCAGGCATGTCGCAGCAAGGACGCGACCATGATTCCATGCAGATGACTCTCAACCGAGGCACTTCGAGCTCTTCATCCCAGACATCCACACCTCCTTCTGTGACTCCCGCGATATATTCCGAGGCTGCCCACTCCCGCACCCAGTCGAACCATGGAGCTGTAGATAGTGATATGGATGTTGGGATGGCAGATGTGCTTTCAGAGAGCGGGACATTGGCAGCTATGCATGTACTCAATGATGCTTGGTGGAGTACCATGATGATGCCAGGGTATGTTCTGTGTCTGTTATTCTCTGCGGCGTTACTGATCGATTTCAAAGGTTCTCCTGGCCAGAAGGACCACACTTGAACGGCGTCGCAGAAGTTTACAATCAAGGAATACCAGGCATCCACACAGGTTTTGGAGGGTATACAGCCGAACCACAGCTAGCAATGTAACTTCTTTGTCCGCAAGACATTCGGTGATATAACATCACCAAGGCTTAGAAATTTCTCGGGTGTTCTTTGGTTTCATACAGCGCTAAGTACTGTATCCATGATCTTGCCTTCACTACCGTACACTGTATACTTAGTCATCCATGTTTTCTGTTTCAGAATCTTACGCACCTAGACAACATCATATCTCATTATCTTGACTCGAGCTCTAACGATGCTTCGAAATATTATCCCCCAAGTTTTGCAGTGTTTCTCGCGCATAGCGCGCTCGACAACTTGAATGTTCATGACTGATGCTGGCCATCACATCAGGATGTTCGAACCATGGCAATGTTACAATCAGAAGCACGTATGGAAGGGGTAGAAGTCGGTGAGCGCAGCATACCCGAGGCCTGGGCTCTAGACCAATGTCGCTTGCCAGTGACACTCGCCACAATCGGCAAAGTGCATCACGGAACTAAACTAGTCCTTACGAATATTTGAAGAGGCCTGGACTAGGAACGGGCCAGGGACTCGTTATTGGATTCAAAGACTCATATTGGCCATGGATCATGCCTAGGAGCGGGGAAGGGTAATAGTCAGGAAAGTATACGTATGACCGTAAAATAAGAGAGCTCACCTCAAGGCTCAGTCTTGGATCAAAAGACTGAGGGAGATTATTCGACGGGGAGAGGAATTAATACGCTGATTGAAACGGGGAATCCAAGGTAAACGTGTATGAGGCGTGGAATGAGAGGTGATTGCGTATGTAAAAAAATGGACGAGTACGTACGAGAGTGATGTCAAGAGTCATATCTTAACACTAGCACCTTGATAATTAATATGGACTGCTCTTCAGATGGGATTCTTATCCTCCTCCTCTGGGCCCTGATGCGGCCTCGAGCCTCCGGAATGTGAATTTGGCTGAAGGGAGGAATCTTTACATCCGACTGATAATTCGAAATCAATTCTGTTCTAAACGTCAATGCCCTCAATCGAACTTGTGTCGTGTTGAAAGTCATGGACTGCCTTGAAAGATGAAGGAAAACGTACATTGTACAATCCGGGATCCCTTGTCCATGTTGACCCACATATTCATTCATTCTGCCCAACGCGACCTCGACGTGAGGCAGGGACATTGTCAGTAACTCCGCCTCAAACAATATATTCTCTTTCTCGATCCATCCCAGGCTCTCGGTGCTGAACAGCTAATCAGCCCAATTATATTATATGCATGCTCACATTCGCACCTGGGCCCAGAGACTTGGCCGTGTCGACAGCAGGAAATGCCAGCGTTGTTCAATTCCGCCTTTCTGTTGCCCGTGCTCGAGGGGCCCCATTATCTCAATGGTATTGTCGGTGTCATTCCTAAGAATATCTACATCCAGGACTGCAAGGGTAATGAAGAAACTCTCATCATCCAACTGGGTAATTGAGTTGAGTCGATGACACATGTAGTGGCGAGCGGCCTTAGGTCTTGGGGCTGAATCGTGGATGCATCAACTTGCGTTCGCATTGCGAACTAGATATAACAACCCTGGAAACCAATCGCGCTCGACCTTTTGCTGCGAGAGTTTTGGTAGTCCAAAGGCGGCAAAGGCCCATGAGTCATGGTCCATGGTGCAATCTGGCATTGGCCAGAGCCCAGTAGGTTGCAGGTACACCAATGACGCCCCAAGATACTGTCTGTAGAGAATAGACTCCACTTGGCCGTCAGTCGTGATATCAGAGCCTCAGCCACAGTAATAGGAAGTAGTTCCAGCTCTTTGCTAACAAGCCGCTTCGCTAGAATTTAGAAACTGTCGATTCTCGCAACGGGCATAGTGCTAGTGATGCGTGAGAATTTACCATTTGGATTGTTCCAAAATTTTGTCAAATTCAACAACCCATCTTCATTCCACATTACATTGTCTGCCTAGGGAGAAACTACCATATAAACATGTTCAGAGCTTGATGATCGATTCTCCGGTTGAAGTCACCAATACCAGTGCACGTCCAAAAATATTCCATAAGCCAGCACCTACTAGGTCCTGGCATGAGATCTAGAGACTTGATTCCGCTTGGAATATCGGCCAGCAGCTTCAGCCTAAGGATCAAGGGGATGTATGTACATACCTCACAGTGCATTATTCTGCAAAAGGGCGCTAACTAATTGGCAGAGACAATCATCATGATGGTAGTAACACTCGAATTGCATCTTGGTATATCACGTCCTGCATGATACACGATCTTCGTGGGATATTGATAACCAGGGCGTGACTCGCTTAGCCTTTCGTATTCTACCAAGGCGACGGGCAATAGGGCTAGCTCGTTGCACCACTGCAATCACTCCGCTGTCACATTGCATTTGATGACATGTAACATGTTCCTTGATGCTCATGACCGTGACGTCGCTAACAGTGCATGCACACACCTCCCCAGCTCGTATCAACATATTTCACTCACTCCTCCATCTCTACTCCCCGAACTGGCATCCATAGATTGAGTATTGACATGGTCTTCGTGCATTCATTCGGTTTGCGTCGGACCTTGGTCTGTCGAACTTCGTGCACTTTACCCGCGAAATTATGTTGCGCACCCTCGTCCCACGGCTGTACTCTCCAACCGTGTTCAATTATGCAGCAATCTAGTTCCTATTCGCGAATCGCATGTCATGATAATATTCACATACGCAGGCGATTCAGTGCGGCTGTTGAATCGCAATGATTTTTGCGCCTTGGACGGTTACTTCAGTTCGATGCTGCCCGTGGCGAAATGGAAATTCATGGCGCCAGCCGCCATGGACGAGATATCTAGCCATTCCAACTGAAGTTGGGCGCTTTAATATCCTGTCGTTGAGCTCCCTTGAAGTGGCACAGTTGCACTTCGCGCATTGCGCCGTTCCTGGAAACCATGGAGATAGTGCATGACGCATCTTTCCTACCCCGTTTGGAAAACTTCGCAGCCTCATCTTGTCAGTCCCACGGATCATGAACCTTCTTCGTGGACCTGACGAGGATGCGAACAACGGGCAGTTACTAACTTATGGAAGCTTGCCATGCCAATCAGTCACCTTCAAAATAACCCGTCAGATATAACTCACATTCGACTCGACCGGTGGGCGTCTTCGATCTTTGATGATACACAGGCTTGATCCATGCTGTTCACTGGAACGTTGCCCTGTTCTCGAGATACCCATTTACGTATCTCCGATGAGTTCAAACATTTCCGTTTTTACTTCGCGCGATTCGCCGGCTTATCACTTCGGCAATGATGATGTTTTCTTCGGCATATATCTCATCTTGAACCATCTTGCCATAACTCCCGAACATGGTGCCGATTTGGCACTTACGACTGCGAGGTTCCGAGCCGTTCGCTAGCGTCAGAGGCCTGCAAAGATGCTGGAATGTCACTGACCCGGATAGTTCCGGGCATGCTAGGGCTGGGTCTCCAGTCTCCAGGGGTAGGATAATGCTGATCCAGATCGTCCAAGCCTTGCCAAGGGCTAGGCTTAAGATGATCTGATGATCTTACGTGCAATCTATATCAGCTAGTATAATTCGTTGTCCGCTTGCTGTGAATTCAATTGATACATCTGTAGTAGTCGGACTTTATCTCTATTCAAAAGTCACAAAGTTTCAACCCTAATTGTCTCGCATTGAATTTTCGACAGGGCGACTAAACCTCCCGATACCAAACTGTGGGACCAGGACGCCCATAAACATCTGACTCGAACGTTGCGTTGTCCTAGATCAATCGCACAGCATGTACACTAGTCGTCGTATGGGTTGCGAAGTTTGGCTCTTTCCTTTCTTGCCCAAACATTTTGTGTCACCGCATTCACGCAGGCTAAATTATAAGTATCTTCAGGAGTCCGAGTCTAGAGACGGGCCGCTCGAGTTAATCAGCATAAATAAGTGTCAATAACCAAGAGGGGAATGCATGCTGATCTTTCAAGTAAGTCAGAGTCAGACGATTGAAGCGAGGGTAGTACGAGTCCTCGCAGACTTTCCATCGTTCTGTACAGTACTCCCAGAGTAAGATGGAAGAACATGTAAGATAGGTATTATTGCCGTCCTCGAGAGAAGCAGTGATACACGTGAGAAATGAGCGGGAAGTAAGTATTTGGCAGCGTATGAGCGGAACACCTGTGACGCGTCGTGTATAACCCATTTTAACTGGAGGAGGGAAAGGAAACATAAAGAAGAAGATATCTCACAAAAGATGGAAATATTGAGCATGAGGATGCCTCGAAAAGAGGCAAGTCATAATGAGGGCCACGAAGGCGATTGGTCATAGCTTAAGCTCAGTAAGAACTCTCCGGGCGAGCATTTGGTATTGCCAACCATCGCCACCAGCCCTTCGAAATTGTATGCCGTGGAGTGGCAGCCAAGGAACCTAGGGAAAGTCTGTCAGATGTTCGAGACGATGACGAGGAGGAATATTATACCTTAATAATGTTAATTTCGAAACGGACTGAAAGTGAACTAGCACCCATAGATTCGAATACTTCACGATCGACTTCACCGGTAGGAAAAGGTGCCGGCCGGGGAGTGTGCGGCTGTGGTGTAGCAGCAAAGTCGCGGGGTATGGGCGGTAAGACCTTGCCTTTTACCGGTGTTTGCGAGCGGAATGGATCACGCTGTTCCTCGTGGGGTGTTGCCGGCGCGAGCACATTGGCTTCCTGATGCCGAGAATTATCCGCTGTAATGGTGTGGGTATTAGAGGAGACATTGAAGAACGAAGACGATCCGCTGCTGGGGGTGGCACTTAATGCAGTCCCAATCGATGGCCTGTGAGGGAGCTCTTTCTCCAAAGGAGCCTCCTGTTCTTTTTCCTTCATACTCTCCCTCTCCCTCTCCCGCTCCTTAGACTTCATACCAAAAGACATCTTCGACGCTTTCTTCACAAGCGATCGAGGCGTAATTCCAGTTTCGTTGGAGCCACCAGAAGCAGTCCTCCGGTGATGACTAGAGCGTCCTTGGACCTGAGTTGATTCGGGGACAGATGAAATGTCGATGGAGGGTACATGGATGCACTCAAAACCACACCGTGTCTCTCGATATTGAACTTGCATTCGGTCCAGAACTTTCTTGATATCGGCCTTGAGCACTGATGGCGGTTTTGTAGAAGTGGTTGCAACACTGTCGCACATCTCAGCACTGTCCAAATAACCACGCGACTCGCGCTCACCTGAACAGTCCCTTAAGATGCACCGGCTTGAAGTCCTTATCGCTGTGGTGTCCACTCTGCTCATCCTTGAAGCCATCGTCCTGATCAACTCCCTCTTGCTCAACATTCTCCTCCACCTTCTCAGTTTGTCCAAAGCCACTCACGCCAGTTGGACGTCCGCTGCTCGTCCCATAACCAGTCGATGGCCGACGATGTCGTCCGATGGTGCCACCGATACTAGGGAGCAAAGATCCACCAGTGCTACTCCGGCGCTCGTGCCGAATCTGACGACCTTGGGGATCAAGAATGGTGGCAGCTCGCCTGTGCACGTTCCCAAGAGGCTGGCTCTGGCTAGCAGTAATAGGTTGAGGCGCAATGATGGAGGATCTGCGTACATCGACATCTGCGCCCCGCTTCCAAGACGATTCAGCAGGCTTCTCGCCATCATCTCCCGATGATCGCAATGGTACAGCGCCTAACATCGTCGTCCGCTTACCAATACTCCGTTTATTATCATCACCCTTCCCAACCAGAAGCGTGCCAAACCTGCGCACGAGCGTTGCGCCAGCTGATAACGGACCGTCATGTGTATGTGCACGATCCCCTCCGGACAGAACCTTATCCTGGTCCGTAAATTCGCCCTCCAGACCAGCCGATTGAGAGCCTTGCTCCTCGCCGTGCTCGTCCACACGACTTTCGCCACTAACAAACCCTCCACCCCATCCGCGGAGCGCAGTTGGTCGCTGGCTCATGCTGTGGCTGCGGCGGTGAGTGGACGCAGGTGGAGCACGCGGAAGTGCTGTCGCCGGCCCTGGCGTTGGCGGTTGGGAAATTTCGACACGCTTCGTGGCAGGTGGAGGTAGCCCCGAGTCACGCGCTCGCACTTGCCCATGGAATGCAGCAGAGGTCGGAGAAGCCGCTGCAGATGCTGCATCGTAGGACATGTCGGAGTAATGCGACGTCTCAGGCGCAGGAAGGCGCGGGAGAGGCATACCGTAGTCTGCTTTACCAGATGCAGAGGTGGCAGGCTGCTGTTGCTCCTTCTTGACAGGAGCAGGTTGAGTGAAGGTATTAGCCGGGTAGGGGGGTGGTGCAGAAGCGTCAGTGGCGGATGCATTGGCTGCAGTGGTCGATTGAACGGAAAGCTGGGAGCTGGCAAAGCGCCCGGGGCCATAGACACGTTCACGCTCTAACTTCTCGCGGGAAAGGTAATACATTGTGACCAGTGGATGGAATCCCTGCGTTGGGTCAAGGGGGTCGCGCATGCCATCGCCAACTGACAGAAGTGACTGAGAGGTGGGAGGCGAGTGAGAAGGAGTGGTGGGTGGCGATGAGGAAGGGGAGAACAGCTTCCGGCGATAAAAGTCGAACCCAGAAAAACGTTTTGACTTCTTTGAAGGACTCATTGTAGAATCATTCTTGTGCGCATTCGTGGCCGACCCATCGAAGGATATAGCAAGGGAGGAATTAGAAAACTCGAGACGGTTGTTTGCGCCGTTGCGACCACCGCGCTTGCGGTCCCAAGCCTGGACCGCGCGGATATAAGCGTCAGATTCGAGCACCTTTCGGAGGTTCCGTTCGATTTCCTCATCAGTCCCAAATTCGAAGCCTTTCATGCCTTTGATGACCTGTTTATCAAGGTCATCAGGTCGGAGCGGATCCCGGTGTATCATGTGCGAGTCAGGGGGACCACTGAACCCACGAATCATCCATGGATGCTCAAGTACCTCGGTCAGCGAGGCACGCATAGCGGGGTTAGTGACAAGCATTCGGGAGAGTAAGTGCTTGCACTCTAGAAAATTGATCAGTGAGTATCATGCTTCACAGCATAATTTGGACGCACCTGCACTTAACCACACAGGATACTCGACCAGCCCGCGCTTAATTTTGGCATGCAGTGCTGGCATGCTCTGATCGTCGAAAGGCACTTTGCCACATACGAGCACGTAGAGGACAACTCCAAAACTCCATACATCAACCTCCGGTCCAATGTAGACCTTCGCATTAAGGAGCTCGGGAGCTGCAAAGTATAGCGAACCACAAAAGGTCGACAGAGTGGAACAAGGGTCGTAGAGATTAGACAGGCCAAAGTCGATTATCTTGATGTTTCCTGTTTCAGATATGAGGATGTTCTCGATTTTGAGATCTGCAACATAGACAATGAGAATGTGAGACAATACAGATACAGCAACAACAGACCTCGATGGACCACATTGTTTCGATGACAGTAATCTAGCGCACTTCCTATCTGACGAGCGAACTTGCGAGCGACACGTTCCCGCAACCGACCGTGACTGATAATATAGTCGAGCATCTGGCCACCGTTCACATATTCGAATACCATGTAATAATGATGTTGATGGACGATCATCTCGCGCATGCCGCAGATGTACGGGTGATGAAGAAGCATAGAGAGAGCAGCTTCACGAAGAGTGCGTATCTCTTTCGAAGCATCTTTTGAGGCCTGCTTTGCGACTGCTTCTGGAGTTGCATTTGAACCATTTGGCTGGGAAGCTTGCGGATACACTCGAGGGAGGATTTTGACAGCGAGCTACGAACAAGAACCAGGTTGTTCGAAGATAATTCATGTTTGATATGAACGCAGCACACACCTTCTCTTCCGTGATATTATGAATAGCCAGCTTGACCTTCCCCATGCTACCAGCTCCAAGTGTCTTGGTCAAGGTGTAGTCACCAAGGATGCGGTGTGAGCTTCGACTCTGTTTGCTGGTTGAACCATCTCTGGTCTGACGGTGTTTTGAGTCTGTAGTCTGCTGTCTTTCGCGGTCTGAAGAACTTGACATCGGAGTTGTGGTACCAAATGCCTGCGGAGGCATTGATACTGGGCGGGGCCTGTGAGACGTAGCCTGCGACCTTGGAGAGGGTAAAGGGCGTGGAGTAGTAGTATTTTGTGTCGTGGTCGCCGTCGTGACGGTTGCTGTAGTTGTTGTTGACGGCGTTAAAGTATGTGACCTTGCTGGTGGAGGTGATGAAAGAAGCTGTGGCTGATGAGCCGAGGGCGGTTGCGTGATGGCCATATCAGACTCATAACCTCCTGCGTGCGACGGCGTAATCAAACCAGTTTCTTCAGGCACTTGTCCTAGTGGCCCTGCCATAGACGATGGGTAGAACGCTGCCATGAAGGTCTCTAACGCCAACCTATCGTTTTCAAAGGCGGTGCTCACGATTCAGGCTAGTTAGTAGAACCGCCTCCAAATCAACGTTTTGAAATCACTGGTCAGGGCGGTCCTTGCAAGCGTCTATGTTCGCAAACGGAGATTTGCTCCCAGTTGATATAATCAACAATTGCTCCTGATTTTCTCATGTATGTCTCAGCATGTCTCATCACTACTTAAGGTACTAGTGCCAAGAATGCCCGAAAGTTCTACTCGGGGAAACAATCCCAATGGCTAAGGCCGTATAATACTTTGCTGGCCCTTCGAACTGAACGGTAGCGATGCCAACCGCTACTACCCCGATACACGCATGAATGCATGTGAGGAAGGAAGAATAAAAATTGCTACAACAAGCTTACCTAGTACTCTCAGGCTGTCGAAGCGCACAAATAGCACATTAATAATAATAGATTATCAGAAGCAGGAAAAAGTCCTGCTTCCCGCGCCTGCCGCAGGAGGTAAGAATATCAAAATAAACACCGAATGTTACTTCTGTTCTTGTACAGACTCGGATAACCATGTCACTGGATGACGATTAAACATGGGCCAAGGAGGTAGGACAACCTATAGCAAAGGTGTGAATCGACTAGGTACATGAACACCTCGCGAAGCAAACTCACCAGAGACAGCGCTACAGTACAGAGTGCGAACGTACTCATTGTTATCATGAGAGAGCTGAAGGCAAACCCAATGACAAACGAGAGGAACTACCAGAAGATATCCAATTGGCTAAACGCAGCGGCAGCGAAGGGCACGTACTGTGCTAGTGATGAGTACCACGCGAACAATGTCATCCGCAGTCTTTTGCCCTTTGAAGTCCTATATTTTTGTATGGTCAGCTCCATCCCAAAGAACCAAAAAAGTACCCCACTATTCTGCCTTCCACCAGCTCCTGTATGGTCATGACTGTTGTCTAGAAAGCTCAATAATGTTCATGGATGTTAGCAATTGACACGAGATCCGTGTGAAAATGTTGCCTACCTTAACAGGAGCCCATGGACCCGAGTCCCGACGGGCCGCACATACTAGTCCTATGTAGATCAGTCTCGCCACATGTGCCAGGCCCGGATCATGCAGGCAAAAATATAACGCTCCCTAAGCCCTTTAAATTTTGAAACATACACAGCTTAAAGAATTACCCACACGCCTACTGATCATTCATCTAGGACCCGATACTACTACTGATCTTGAGGCCGTGCAAGTCAGATACAGCCTAATCAATTGCATCAAGGCTTAACCAGGCCTCTTAACATAGGATACGGTAATAACAGTACCCAGGCCTGCGTGAGTGTCACGACCGTTCGAGATTACTACTTACCTCACGTCAAACAGCGCATCGCACTATTAGCAGCAAGTATGCTTATATAGATGCATGGGGGAATTCTAGTCTAACGTGGTACATAGTTGGTACTCTATCTCAACGCAGATCGCCGTATGTTCAATACTGTACAAAACAAAAGAGGTTCCAATCCGTCAGACTTGGGCAAAACAATGCTCCTTTTTACTTGGGAGACTCCGGTCACTCTGGCCCGACTTTACTAAATTGTGATCGTCAGACTTTTCTGCGTCCTCGTCTGCGCATGTTTTTTTGCCGATGATACCCAGGTCTCTCAAGCCAACGATAACGATGACAATGCTCAAAAGTGTCGATGCGAAACAAGTCCACCCAGCTGCTCGGAAACCGACCATCAAGACTTCTGGCGACTGAGAATCAAGTTCCGGATGCTTGTTGTTGTATGCTTTGGACACAGAGTCTGCGATTTCAGATGTTACTGCAAGTCCGATTGCTGTAGCAAGCTGCTCACAAAAAGCTCAGCAAGATAAATTGAGGGGGGGAATAAAATCTCGTACTCTTGTGGCAACGCTGAAAATACCACCTGCAAGGGATTGCGAGTCTTCATCGAGCGATACAGTGATTTGCTGGTTCCCTAACGAATATACGATATCCACCCCAGCTGCAGCAATATCAGCCTCTCTTCACTGAGAGAAGAAATAACGCACCAATGGTGATCATCATAAAAAATGCCATGTGCCAGAAGCTAAGACTGGGGTTTATCAAAGCGAAGATTACGCTTGATGCCTTCCTAATATTGAATATTTATTCTCAGTCGAGGTTGAGTCGCTTACCGAGCTGACGAGCAAACCGATCAACATCAAAATATGTGCAGGGACGCGGGCAACATAATATCCCGCTGCGATGCTAGGAACGGTTCCAGCGATAGCCATAGGTATAAACCGAAGAGAGGTTTGCAATGGATCCAGCAATTGTACCTGTTGGAAGCTGAAGGCCATCAGTGGTCAACAGAGATCAATTGATTAAAATAGACCAGCATACTATAGCGTGAAGAAATAATTTAGAGTATCGAAGCTAAACCTGCAAGGAACATGAATGACTGAGACCGATCCCTCAGGAATTCACGCACCAACCAAAAAATACCACGCCAACGAGGGGACCCAATTTTACTCCAGGCCGCCTCCATATTCTCAGAGGCATGAGAACGGACATGTTTCTTGATTCCCTCCAGTGCTCCCAGAAGACAAACGCGACCAGCAAAATGATGGACACAAGGAATAGGCTAAGGACCTGGGGTGCCAACCAACCCTTTTGAGCGGTTGTGGAGTCACTCGAACCCAGTTCAGTAACTCCTACTGCAAGATGCAGGGTGTGTCTTACGATAGACTGAAAATCAGGAGGCCAAGGCCAGTTGTGCTTAGCGCAGCGCCACCCCAGTCTAAACCTTTGTCGTAACGCCGATTGGAGTGATCTTTTGGAAATACCACGAGAGCCAGACAAACGAAGAAAACAGCAAGACCTGCTTGAATGCAGAATAACGAACGCCATGTGGCGCGACTTTCAGTCAAAAGACCGCCTTAGAGGTTGAATGAATCGTCCATCGGAAATGTTGTTAGGCAAAACTTACTAGAAATAAGGCCTAGAATAAATCCCACAGGTGATCCAACACCTATTGCGCTGAAAGCCTTGTTCCTACTTGTTCCTGGTGGGAAGTACGACGAACATAATCCAATCGCAGCGGGAGTGTTGGCAGCCGATCCTATTCCCAAGAACGCCATATCTATGATGAAAACACTTGAACTTGGAACGAAGGCCGTTGCGAGACTCCTGGCGTGATTTTCTCGAGTTAACAATTCGAGCACTCAAATTTGACTACTGACCAGATCGCGAACCATAGAGACCCAGCGAGGAACATGAAGCGGCCTCCGAATATATCCCCCAGTCTTCCACAGAATAGAAGCAAGCCACCGAATGACAAACTATTTAACAATGTCAGTGCCTGGTAGTTGTGTCACGATTATTGTAGAGAGACGTACGAATTCACATTGACCGGCCAGTAAAGGTTACCCTAGACACATGCATGTTGTGTTTCGGAGTAGTATGGGTAGAGTAGCAAACAAACCTCTTGGAAATTAAGGTCTCTTCCAATAGTGGGAAGCGCGACTGTGACAGCGCCGAGGAGGAAAACCTTCGTCCACATCGGGTGCACGAATTATTGAAATTTCAAAAGAAAAAAATTGTTCATACTTACATTGAGAGTTGTGACACCACAGAGGGCGGTGATGAATGCAATATCCCGTGCACTCAAGCCCATTATCTGGCATTCAAAATCAAGTTGTGGAGGACGACTGTGGAATTAGAATTATTTTCAGGATTTACACCAATATGTAGATATTTATGCACGATGCGAAGGTACGTCAGCTTTCACTGTCAGCCTTTAGTAAGTCGCATACCCTACCTGCTGCATGGATTTTCTGTGACACCGGGAGGAGATCGGGATCACCGGGATCTGCGCCGGTAGGTGGTCTGTTTCACCTGCTGAACTGTTGGAGAAATGGTGTGAGTGAAGGGCAGGTACTTCTGTGTCATTATCTTTTTCAGACTCCAAACCAGGTAACGGCGCTCGGCCGGATCAATTTGTGTTTGAATAACTCTCCTTCAAGACTACAAATAATCTTGCATAGTGACTCACGTATGTGTATGTCTTGAGGGAAATCGCAACATTCGAGCGCTTTCTGGTATATTGCATATACTAAATGACGCGGATAATAATTCTAATGAAATAAAAATGACAGTCAGCTCCTGGCACGACGACATTAGGTGTTTCCTTCTGCGAGCTATTTATTCTCCAAACAGGCACAAGCTGTTGCAGTTACTCGATCACAATGTTTTATGGGCGGGCAAAATGAATGACTGACCCTTGAAATATCAATCCCCGGGATGCGAAACATACAATAGCCGTGCTGAGCAACCACCGGAAACATGCTTTGTTTCGTCCTGTGACTTGAAAGACCATCATGATAACGAGATTATCCGTATACCAAATGCGAGGAGCGGCCCCCTTCGAGTTACCCTTCTACAGCACCTGGTGATCAATCTTGTTCAACTCAGGGTTTTCCGGGCCCCGGCTAATCACGGTGCTTCGAGGTGTGTCGTCGCTCAAAGCCGCATCAATTCGTCATGTGCATCCGTAAGTACTAAGTACAGCGTAGTAGGACTCACCTTATTACAATACAAACGTGGTATCCATAGCATAAGCTATTCCAAATGGAATTTTCGAAAGGCAGGATAACGATATCCATGCTATCAATGAGGCCTGAGGAACGACTCCTTCCAATTTGGGTTCGTTCAGGCGGTAGTACGCTAATATTCGCTGACGTCGAGTCTGTGCAAAATTGAAATAATGTTAGAGATGGTGATTGCATTCACGTTACTGTTCTCCGGGTTTATTGAAAGTCAATGGTGACAATGAGTTGTCCAAGAGTTGTCCTCATCACGGCAGCAAATATTCTTGTTGAGGTCTGTTGAGCTAGTACGTAAGCAGTATTGTCACGGTGTACATGGTCTTGACTCATCATAATTGATAATTGCCCCCATCGCCGGGCGCCTGGTAATGAAACACTTTGAAAGCTTTGAAGTTTTCCCGCCCATATCTAAAGCTACAACCCGACTAAGGAGCTAAAAATAGTGCCTTCGTGAGTCGTTGCTAAGCGTTGAGCACTGAGTGTTGTCACTCGCCTACCCGGTTTTTCGGAATTTCCACATACTATCCTAGATCTGTATCACCTTCAGGTCCAAGTTGTGGGTTGCTCATACGTACGTTGTTGCATACTGCTTATTTCCATACCGAGTATTGATTCCCCGCTAACTGCGAGTACAGAGTCATTACCAGGCTCCGGGCTCATCGCGCTAAGCGGCTCACACAGAATGCGAGCGTCACGGTTAACCTGCTTCGTCGAGCAGTTCGACCCTGGGGTTCAATGACCTCCATTGCACTTACAGCTGCATGTAGCAGCCTATTGAAGTATCTGCCCAAAGACCCATCCCAGGAAAACAAGACGTACCCGTCTTGACTCTTGATACGGGTAACCGACGTTTGTTTGTTCAGGTCATCCTATTTTCACTAGAGTGATACTTGTCCGAGAATGGGGCTGATACTTGGTAGGACATACAACTTCAAGCAGGGCGTTGCCACCTACACTTGGGCTTAGTGGGCATGCGCCTGGTTTCAGATGGACTCAGCTGTGGTACAGTCACTTCGGTTTACTTATCCTACAAGTGAGTTGCCTCTCATCTCCCACCTGTTCGATAATGTGCATTCTCGGCTGTGACTAACATCGCAACAATTGGATTGCATATATAGTAAGCGGCTTTTCCCTTGAAATGGACGATTAAGGTCGGACCTCATGCTTCAAGTTGGTACCAGCGCTTTCCGTGTATCTTACTGAAAGCGTTTCGTGCAAGGTCTGTTCCACTTTTGCGCATCTTCTATACCCATTGCCGTCGTGGCAGTTACATTGCATTCCCTCTTCCTCAAGCCAATGTAGATCCTATTATGCACAAGTTGTTTGGAACCATCCTCACTCTTGTTTTGACAGGCCTTCGTATCAACCCGTCGTCTCTATGCCGTAGCTGCTGTTGGAATTGTGGTCGTGTATTTG